TATAACCCCATGCCTAATATCTGAAGCAAAACAAGACATTCTGTAAGACATTTGCGGTTCTTTCTCCTCTTCCTCAACGCAGTTTATTGTCTCTTTATGCTTTTCTTACGGTGGGAGCAACTAACCAAATGTTCTTCTGCTAGATTGTAGTGTGAACAAACTGGATATAACCGAATTTTCATTGTCTCTTGTTTTCTTTGTCTTGGTTTCTATAGTTGATGTTTGATTAAAGCGAGCAATCCGATCTCAAAACATTTTTCTCACAGGTTTCGGAAGGGATTGATTTTACTGATGACTACGCGAGGGCAGTGGTATCCTTGTCAACTGCTTTGTCATTTACTCTGAGTTTTTTAGAATTTTTTCGATAAATAGGATTTATACTTCTCAAACTGGCTGCTAAACCTTGATGACTAAATACCAGTGTTCTAAAAAGCGTTATAGGCGTTCGCTTAGGCGGTGCTTAGGCGCTAGGCCCTTATAGACCGTGGCGATTACCGCTTTTGCCGCCCAAAATATTATGGTATTATTATAATAAAAAACTATAATTTTTTTTATATATAAATCGTAAAATTTTATATATTTAGCTATTAAATGATGAATATAAATACAATATAAATTTTATTAGTTATAAATTATGGKTTTTTATATATTTTATTATATATATCTAATATATTATGTATTTTTGTAAAACGCTTAAACCGCCTATTAAATCGCCTAGGTTCCGATTAGGCGTTCTAGGCACTAGGCATTGGGTCACCGCCCGATTAGCACCTAGCGCTTTCTTGAACATTGCTAAATACATATAATTATTGGCATTCCATTTCCAAACTTGTAAGTGTTTTAAAATATTTCAGATTCGTTCCAGTTCTTCTGGCTAGACATTATATTCAAGTCGAACCAAGAGGAAATTTAATGATGCGTACATAACATCTAAAAACCTTCTTGGAGGAAGTGAGCGTTATTGCCAACAGGCCTATCACTTGCACTCTGTCACTTGGTTCATGTCAAGAAACTAAAGGGGTGTTTTTCTTTCATGGTGGTTTTTCTTTACAGGGCGATGTATCTGACATAGGTTTGATTATGGTGCAATCATATTCTTGGGTAAACTATAAGATTCCTTCAATATCTTTGGATAGTTTTTTTAATTCAGCTTCTGAGGTTGCCTTGTTTCGATGTTCCAGATGAGCGATACAGACAACAAAGGAACAGAGTGTCTATTTCAAAGTGCTAAGGCAGTCTATCAATCTGTATGATATATAGTTTTGAAGAATCTATGCAAGGCTGAAAAGCTTTTTTCAACAGTGTCAAGATTTAAACCATCTCATTCCCTTCCCATGAAATGAAGTTTATTACATCATCATCATGAAAATTCTTTGAGAATTGCATGCGCAGTCGCGAGTTGACTATACAAGTTCGAATTCAAGATATAATTTTTCGAACGAAAGCAATGCCATTTTGGATCATAAAGACAAAAATATCTGCTCAAACATTCATTCAAGTTAAAGAGGAAGCTAAATGCTGCAAACAAGTCATTGACATTGATTGCAGCGGGTACAAATACTTACATGTAATAATATATAAGATTCAATTACACAATATCTCAAAACTTTGAATTGAACTAGTGCATAATGTAATTAGGTTATTGCGTTTGCTCTTCAGATTTGATGTTATGGTTTTCTTCATAGCCGTGCTTTATTTTGGCAGTGCAATGCCAGATGTTCCTTGTCTCTAGTCACTGGGTTTTGTCAAGTTTCGAGGCGAAAGATGGAATGGGAAACAAAGCCTTTTTTTTTTATTGGTGCTGGTAGGAAAGAGTTATCAGAGGTGGCACCTCTTGAAGAAGTAGACAATGATGGAAAGAAATCAACCAAAAGTCCTAAGAGAAGTGGTGCTTGAACATTGAATAAGTAAGGTAGTAGCAAAGGATGAAGCATTAGAAGAAACCTCTGAACCTTTGGTAAGATAATGATGTTTTAGACAAGGAAACCGACACCAAGTGAGTCACGGAGAAGTAGAAGGAAAGGTAATGGCTTTATCATTCTCTCTGTTGTTGCCTTGAAAACTTGTTTCGAAAAGAAAGCTTCTACACATTTAGAGTTGCAGAAGCTTCTTCTGAAGGAAAAACCGAGAAGAAAGTGAGGCGAAAGAGTAGTAGCAAAAAAGATAAAGAAATGGAGGATGGTTTAGTAGGTACTACTACATATGATGAGGTTAGTTTCTATGGAAGAAGCAGATAACTAAAAACCAAAAGTGGGATGATAAATCAAGCCATAGGAAGAAAAATCATTAGCAAGATAAAAAGACAAATCAATTGAAATCATCTTTTTTATGCATCGTAAAGAAGAAAGAATGCTTTATTTACTACAACGTCAAATCAACGGTCTAGTTTTTTATTTCTTCCTTATTTTTAAAATGAAGAAAAACGAACACCTCAAGATATTTCATTCATAAAAATGAAATCATATGATTGGTAACTGGCGATTACGAAAAAATCGAAGTATTGTTTTTCCCAAATGTCCCCAAATTATTAAAATAACTGACAGTTGAATCCTCAGCCACATAAACCAAATGAAGCTGATCTAAATTGCTATTAAAATCTATTTCAAACCAAAAAAATTGCCGTGAAAACTGAGAGGGAGCTTTACTAAAACAACTTTACAAAGTTGATTTTTGACCAAAATGATGTTATTCTTTAAAAATTACTCAAACAATCTTGAAAAACTATTAATATCCGTTTTAGCCTTATTTCATTTGAAAAAAAACGTATTTACGAAAATGCCATTAATGAGGCAGCGAATAAGTCTACCGTTTATATGATGGTAGATTTATTTGCGATTGGTAGATTTATTAAGTGGTTGGTAGACTTATTGATGGTTCGCGCAATGGTA